CTGCTCTTTTTCTCTTTATGTTCCTGTTTTATTTTCCCCCGTGTTGTACCTCAGCCTGATTAACGTCCTGTTATTTTCTTGTCCGCCCTGAAGTGTTTCACCTGTTTCTTATAACTTTCACCTGGGTCCACTTGTACTCAACCTTTAGTCTCTGCATTTCTGTCGATATGTGGATCTCTTTTTAATTATTTGGATCTGGAATATCGTTTGATTTGAGTGATTCGAATGATGCTGTGCTCACTCCTATGCATTAGCTTTTAATTTCCTCTCAATGGGATTGCATTGTTCCCAACTTTACTTGTTTGTCGTTGCTTTTGGGATTTCTACAAAGTATCACTGTAATTAATGCACAAGTATTGATGAGCAAGCACTTGAAGCTCTCAAGCACGAAGGAATGGTACAGCCAGCTAAAGTACAGTTGGACTTTGAACCCAGAGGGAAATTCCACAGAGTGGCTGAGGGTGTGGGGCCATCGGTGCCCACAGGCAGCACAGTCAGCCCACATTAGCCCGGATTTCTCCAAAAGTGACATGAAAATGATCCAGCACAACTGGCGCCAATCTCTGTGCGTGTGTTTCAACACACTGAAGGGACTGACACTAGTGAGGCCGGTGATGTCATATCTCACAGACACACACCAAAAGTGACACAGATTCTTCTGTGCAGTCCCTCCCTCTGAAAGAAAACCCTGATGTCACATGAGAGCTGTCACACAGAGCTGTCACTGAGCCTGGGACTGGTCCCTGCAATCAGTCACTTCATTACTCATCATCCCCATTACCTCACATACCGTTGGCAAAGCACTGGAGCATGTGCTCTGTAGGCAAAATGCAAAGGACGAGTTAAAGGAGTTCGGGGTTTTTGGGTGATTATTGCAGGGTTAGAGAGATTAGATGTAAGTAATGATCAGACGCTACAACAGCTACGGTGTGTGGATCTGCCAGCTCTGAGCATTAAACTGACTGCATTAGGTCAGCGGTTTATGGCCAGCAACCCTTTAATATTCAGGAAGCTCATCACATACATTTTCCTACAAATTATTCAAAACTCTCTTCAACCTCAGAAACTAGTCAGCTACACTTCTCCTAACCCATTCATTTGACATGTGAAATGATGTGCCAACAATGTTGCAAACTCTCTTGAATAATGTGTAATTGTAACAAATGTGTAACAACAAGAATTCACAAATAATCCCACAGACTGACAAGGAATGTTACTCACAGAGGCCCCACACTAGTTAAGAAAGTCATCCAAGAAAAGGTTAATAGTTTATAAATGGATATGTCACAGTGTTGGTCAGGGGTTTCTGTTTTGCGTCTTATGCGTTGCCACCCCACTCTTTCTACTGTGATTACTTTTAATCCAAGTTAATCCCTACATAAATCTGAACATGTTGAGGTTGACAGCAGTAAACAAAGTGATAAAAGTTATGTCTTTTTTTTTCCACTGAAGAATTCAACCAATGCTAGCCAAGAAATAAAAAAAAAAAAAAAGAAATACAGCCAACATGAGCAAAATAACAAAGACTTTTTAACCACAACATCAGCACTAGATTCAAAGGTAACCAAAGAAATGGGTAATTTACAAGCTAGTAAACTGCAAGAGAATATGGCACAAAAATACAGAAAAATCTGAGGAACTTGCAGGACTTTCCCTCCTGTCTGTGTTTGAGTTAATCTGTGTCATCACACTCACTTCTCTGTGGTGTCACCTGCTGACCTGGGTATATATACAGTACCTCTCTCCCTCACTCTTGTCACTTGAACTTGTCAGTTCATTGTCCAAGTTAGTAGTGACTGTGTGACAGTCAACTTCCTGCATCTGAACAGTCTCCCTTGTACCGCCTGTCTCTCCTGTCAGCTTCCTCTCATGGTGAACTGTCCTGTGTAAAACTGTTAAATAGTTTTCTACCTTTAGTAGTAGGTGCTTTTCTGGGGGCGTTATTACCAATCTATTCCTTTTTTTTTCATTTTGCATCATTTCTGCTGCTTCCCCATGTATGCTCTTAATTTCTTAA